CCGTGATGCAGGGATAACATATACATAAATAGGTCATGTAAGTAACCAGAACCAATCTTAAATCTTTAATCAACATTTCTATGATTTTTTCATTCTATCCTTGAGACTCCAGGGGAAGACAGACAGACAAATTTTGTTGTCAGTGTGCGTGATTTGGCGTCGGTCATGGCTTCACCTTGAACGATTCCTGTTGAATTTTCCAAATCATTGTCGTAGGTTTCAGAGCACAGGGTTTGGTTCCCCACTTGTTTTTTCGTTTAATTTCTTTTGGACCTTCCGCATTAGTGACTGAGACAATTTGTCAATCAGTCGTTAATGGTATGATGAATTCAGAGATTTATTTGTCGTAGCTGAGTGTGAAACAACGTGATGTGATGCGCGAAAAGAACCGAGGTTTCGAAAACACAATCAAAGGTTTGCTTCAGAGTTTTACGTTTCTGAACTTCCCATGCAGCCATGTTTGTTTGTTTGTCTGTTTGTTTGTGTGCTTGTTGTTTACGCCGCGCTCGGCAGTATTCCAGCTATATGGCGGTGGTCTGTAAATAATCGAGTCTGGACCAGACAATCCAGTGATTGACACCATGAGCATCGATCCATGCAATTGGGTTACGATGACATGTATTAACCAAGTCGGCGCGACAAGCATTGGTTGCTGAAGACCAATTCTCTACCCGGATCTCCATGCATTGTATAAATAATTACACAAAGAATGGGGAATGAGATGTTGTAGATAAGACCGATGCAAATGTCAAAAATCATCATTTGTAACAGGGTTATTCTACGTACCTACTTGTCATAGGTCCTTTACTGAGTCATGACCGCGAGGATGCAGAAAAGCTGAAGTCACCGACGTGAATCTGAACCGCCATGTTTGTTTACGAATTGACATAGATCTATATATAGATCTAGGCCTACATTATCACTTGAATTTGATACGCGTTTTGATTGGCAGCATGACACAACTTACCGCCAATATCCTACCCGGAGTGTTACTTGTCGCATGAAATGTTCCACTTGATACAACTCCCTTCTTACAAAAAGGTCAACACCAGACTCGTCTACAACCAGTTGTATGGCGTCACCTCTCCTTGCAGTGTGACAGTGTGACAGTGTGACAGCCTTATAGCCAGACAGTTCAGTGTGACATAGTGACATGCCTTATAGCCAGACAGTTCAGTGTGACATAGTGACATGCCTTACAGTGTGACAGTTCAGTGTGACATAGTGACATGCCTTACAGTGTGACAGTTCAGTGTAACGTAGTGACATGCGTTACAGTGTGACAGATCAGTGTGACATAGTGACATGCCTTACAGTGTAACAGTTCAGTGTGACATAGTGACATGCCTTACAGTGTGACAGTTCAGTGTGACAAAGTGACATGCCTTACAGTGTGACAGTTCAGTGTGACATAGTGACATGCCTTACAGTGTGACAGTTCAGTGTGACATAGTTACTTGCCTTACAGTGTGACAGTTCAGTGTGACAAAGTGACATGCCTTACAGTGTGACAGTTCAGTGTGACATAGTGACAGTTCAGTGTGACATAGTGACATGCCTTACAGTGTGACAGTTCAGTGTGACATAGTGACAGTTCAGTGTGACATAGTGAAATGCCTTACAGTGTAACAGTTCAGTGAGACATGGTGACATGCCTTATAGTGTGACAGTTCAGTGTGACATAGTGACATGCCTTACAGTGTGACAGTTCAGTGTGACATAGTGACATGCCTTACAGTGTGACAGTTCAGTGTGACATAGTGACATGCCTTACAGTGTGACACAGTGACATGCCTTACAGTGTGACATAGTGACACGCCTTACAGTGTGACAGTTCAGTGTGACATGGTGACATGCCTTACAGTGTGACACAGTGACATGCCTTACAGTGTGACATAGTGACATGCCTTACAGTGTGACAGTTCAGTGTGACATAGTGACATGCCTTACAGTGTGACACTTCAGTGTGACATAGTGACATGCCTTACAGTGTGACAGTACAGTGTGACATAGTGACATGCCTTACAGTGTGACACTTCAGTGTGACATAGTGACATGCCTTAGAGTGTGGCAGTTCAGTGTGACATAGTGGCATGCCTTACAGTGTAACACTTCAGTGTAACATAGGGACACGCCTTACAGTGTGACCGTTCAGTGTGACATAGTGACACGCCTTACAGTGTGACACTTCAGTGTGACATAGTGACATGCCTTAGAGTGTGGCAGTTCAGTGTGACATAGTGGCATGCCTTACAGTGTAACACTTCAGTGTAACATAGGGACACGCCTTACAGTGTGACCGTTCAGTGTGACATAGTGACACGCCTTACAGTGTGACCGTTCAGTGTGACATAGTGACACGCCTTACAGTATGACCGTTCAGTGAGACATGGTGACATGCCTTACAGTGTGACACTTCAGTGTGACATAGTGCTATGCCTTACAGTGTGACAGTTCTATGTAACATAGTGACATGCCTTACAGTGTGATAGTTCAGAGTAACATAATGACATGCCTTACAGTGTGACATGGTGACATGCCTTACAGTGTGACATAGTGACATGCCTTACAGTGTGACATAGTGACATGCCTTACAGTGTGACATAGTGACATGCCTTACAGTGTGACATAGTGACATGCCTTACAGTGTGACATAGTGACATGCCTTACAGTGTGACACATCAGTGTAACGTAGTGACAAGCCTTACAGTGTGACAGTTCAGTGTGACATAGTGACATGCCTTACAGTGTGATAGTTCAGAGTAACATAGTGACATGCCTTACAGTGTGACACATCAGTGTAACGTAGTGACATGCCTTACAGTGTGACAGTTCAGTGTGACATAGTGACATGCCTTACAGTGTGACAGTTCAGTGTGACATAGTGACATGCCTTACAGTGTGACACTTCAGTGTAACATAGTGACATGCCTTACAGTGTGACACTTCAGTGTAACATAGTGACATGCCTTACAGTGTAACATAGTGACATGCCTTACAATGTGACATAGTGACATGCCTTACAGTGTGACATAGTGATACGCCTTACAGTGTGACACTTCAGTGTAACGTAGTGACATGCCTTACAGTGTGACAGTTCAGTGTAACATAGTGACATGCCTTACAGTGTGACAGTTCAGTGTAACGTAGTTACACGCCTTACAGTGTGACAGTTCAGTGTGGCATAGTGACACGCCTTACATTGTGACAGTTCTGTGTGACATAGTGACACGCCTTACAGTGTGATAGTTCAGTGTGACATAGTGACACGCCTTACAGTGTGACAGTTCAGTGTGACATAGTGACACGCCTTACAGTGTGACAGTTCAGTGTAACATAGTGACACGCCTTACAGTGTGACAGTTCTGTGTGACATAGTGACATGCCTTACAGTGTGACAGTTCAGTGTGACATAGTGACACGCCTTACAGTGTGACAGTTCTGTGTGACATAGTGACATGCCTTACAGTGTGACAGTTCTGTGTGACATAGTGACACGCCTTACAGTGTGACAGTTCAGTGTGACATAGTGACACGCCTTACAGTGTGATAGTTCAGTGTGACATAGTGACACGCCTTACAGTGTGACAGTTCTGTGTGACATAGTGACATGCCTTACAGTGTAACATAGTGACATGCCTTACAATGTGACATAGTGACATGCCTTACAGTGTGACATAGTGATACGCCTTACAGTGTGACACTTCAGTGTAACGTAGTGACATGCCTTACAGTGTGACAGTTCAGTGTAACATAGTGACATGCCTTACAGTGTGACACTTCAGTGTAACGTAGTTACACGCCTTACAGTGTGACAGTTCAGTGTGGCATAGTGACACGCCTTACAGTGTGACAGTTCTGTGTGACATAGTGACACGCCTTACAGTGTGATAGTTCAGTGTGACATAGTGACACGCCTTACAGTGTGACAGTTCAGTGTGACATAGTGACACGCCTTACAGTGTGACAGTTCTGTGTGACATAGTGACATGCCTTACAGTGTGACAGTTCTGTGTGACATAGTGACACGCCTTACAGTGTGACAGTTCAGTGTGACATAGTGACACGCCTTACAGTGTGACAGTTCTGTGTGACATAGTGACATGCCTTACAGTGTGACAGTTCAGAGTAACATAGTGGGGATACAACAGTAGGTCATCTTCTGCGTTGCCTGACCGTTGTGCATATCTGAATAAGTGTACTTTGAACACGTTCTATAATAATCGCGGGTCCTTCATCTGGTACAGCTGAAACATCTTGTACAGGTTCTGGTGCGGACTTGTATTGACACGTGTATGTCTGTGTCCTGTACCGGTTCTGGTGCGGACTTGTATTGACACGTGTATGTCTGTGCCCTGTACCGGTTCTGGCGCGGACTTGTATTGACACGTGTATGTCTGTGTCCTGTACCGGTTCTGGTGCGGACTTGTATTGACACGTGTATGTCTGTGCCCTGTACCGGTTCTGGCGCGGACTTGTATTGACACGTGTATGTCTGTGTCCTGTACCGGTTCTGGTGCGGACTTGTATTGACACGTGTATGTCTGTGCCCTGTACAGGTTCTGGTGCGGACTTGTATTGACACGTGTATGTCTGTGTCCTGTACCGGTTCTGGTGCGGACTTGTATTGACACGTGTATGTCTGTGCCCTGTACCGGTTCTGATGCGGACTTGTATTGACACGTGTATGTCTGTGTCCTGTACCGGTTCTGGTGCGGACTTGTATTGACACGTGTATGTCTGTGTCCTGTACCGGTTCTGATGCGGACTTGTATTGACACGTGTATGTCTGTGCCCTGTACCGGTTCTGGTGCGGACTTGTATTGACACGTGTATGTCTGTGCCCTGTACCGGTTCTGGTGCGGACTTGTATTGACACGTGTATGTCTGTGTCCTGTACCGGTTCTGATGCGGACTTGTATTGACACGTGTATGTCTGTGCCTTGTGCAGGTTCTGGTGGCAACTTGTATTGACACGTGTATGTTTGTGCCTTGTGCAGGTTCTAAACGTGACCCACTGGGTCATGAAGAAAGGGGTACGATGTTTCCTGTTGTTCCTGGTAACTGCTTCCGTTATCACCGTCGTCAGTTTCAGTTACCCCTCCATGCAGGTACGTAGAAACAAACATAGAAGAACCATATAGACTCGTGACCTCAACACCTTGCCTTATAATTCCATGAATACATGATACTTTTGTATGGATAGCAACTCTTTTTATTCTCTCGACGTTTCAGAGCTACGTCTTTCTCCTTCATCAGGTAAATAGTAAATGATTCACCCGATGAAGGAGCAAGAAGTATAGCTCTGAAACGTAGTCCAGAAAATAAAAGACGATGCTGTTGATAAAAAAGTATCATGTATCCATGTTCTCAAAACTTCAAAGTGCCTATCAAAGACTTATAATTCCACTTATGAATTTTACAATGTCGAACAGTTGAGTTTTCTATGCGTTGTTACAAGTAATGAACAAATAATTCCGCTGGCATCTGAGTTCAATGGCAGCGCAGTGGCTGCAGGCTCTTTATTGATGAGAGAGAGGAGAGAGAGAGAGAGAGGGAAGAGAGAGAGAGAGAGAGAGAGAGAGAGAGAGAGAGAGAGAGAGAGAGAGAGAGCGAGAGACCACACACACACATTACCCTCGTTAAGTACAGAGTTAAGACACATAATGCTTCCATGTACACAGTCCTACATCTGATGCTCATAATCGATTATTTTGTGGAGGAAAGCTTCATAAATGTGGTGAAATTTGGTATTTGATGGGGATGTATGAAAGGCAATGTTGTTGAAAGAGCTTCACATCTAAAACATAAACTCATCTCCAACTACAGTTGAACTGTACAGTTTACATAATCTGTTTTCCCTTGATATATTCTCACATCTGCCAGTTCAATCAGTATGCTATACCTAATTCAAATATGCGTAAATTATTTCGTGTCCTTGATGTAAACTGTATTGTTGATTATTCTATCTTTATTAGAGCGTGGTCACGTACGCTTTTCACCCACGCGAGTAAAGAGGCACTTTTTGTAAATTTATTTCCAAATAGCAATGTTAATGTTAATAACGAATCTGTGTTTATACTTGTATTTCAGTCAGTCCTCCCATATGCCAACATCAGACGTCATTTTGCCGGAGGCAGCTTGAACGACACATGGTATGACGAGACAACATACACCTCCGTCTCCGCTGCCACCCGCACAGCTGCTAAGACCGCTACATCAAAGGAGACAACATACACCTCCGTCTCCGCTGCCACCCGCACAGCTGCTAAGACCGCTACATCAAAGGAGACAACATACACCTCCGTCTCCGCTGCCACCCGCACAGCTGCTAAGACCGCTACATCAAAGGAGACAACATACACCTCCGTCTCCGCTGCCACCCGCACAGCTGCTAAGACCGCTACATCCAACGAGACAGCTTCACCCAAAGAGGCAGCTACAATCAATGATGCAGCTACAATCAAGCAGACCTCTACAACGGCAGCATCAAAGCCTCTGCCTCCCCCTCAGGTAAATAATTCACAATGGCGTGATTGCAGGCATATATTTTCCATATGGAAGTCATCAAGCAGTGAATCTCTCCCTCTTTCATACAACACCGCATGAAGGGTGAACTTAATGACTAGAGACACACTGCCTTCTTCATACAACACTACTATAAAGGTGCAGTTAATGACTAACGACACACTGCCTCCTTCGTACAGCACTACAATAAGGGTGCAGTTAATGACTAACGACACACTGCCTCCTTCATACAACACTACAATAAAGGTGCAGTTAATGACTAACGACACACTGCCTCCATACAACACTACAATAAAAGTGCAGTTAATGACAAACGACACGCTGCCTCCTTCATACAACACTACAATAAGGGTGCAAGTAATGACTAACGACACACTGCCTCCTTCATACAACACTACAATAAGGGTGAAGTTAATGACTAACGACACACTGTCTTCTTCGTACAACACTACAATAAGGGTGAAGTTAATGACTAACGACACACTGCCTCCTTCATACAACACTACAAAAAGGGTATAGTTAATGACTAACGACATATTGCCTCCTTCATACAACACTACAATAAAGGTGAAGTTAATGACTAACGAAACACAGCCTCCTTCATACAACACTACTATAAAGGTGAAGTTAATGACTAACGACACACTGCCTCCTTCATACAACACTACAATAAGGGTACAGTTAATGACTAACGACACACTGCCTTCTACTACAACACTACAATAAAGGTGCAGTTAATGACTAACGACACACTGCCTCCTTCATACAACACTACAATAAAGGTGCAGTTAATGACTCACGACACACTGCCTCCTTCATACAACACTACAATAAGGGTGCAGTTAATGACTAACGACACACTGCCTCCTTCATACAACACTACTATAAAGGTGAAGTTAATGACTAACGACACACTGCCTCCTTCATACAACACTACAATAAGGGTACAGTTAATGACTAACGACACACTGCCTTCTACTACAACACTACAATAAAGGTGCAGTTAATGACTAACGACACACTGCCTCCTTCATACAACACTACAATAAGGGTGCAGTTAATGACTAACGACACACTGCCTCCTTCATACAACACTACAGTATTGGTGCACCCACTCACGCAATCCGTTATATAACAGAAGCTGATTGAAATCATTATGGATGCGACACTGTATAAACATTCAGGCCATTCCTTTAAATTACACAACCAGACATATTTTTCAGGTTATTCGTAAATATTTTTCGTAAAACTTCAGTTTAGCATTGACTGTTTCAGAGACCGCCATGCAACCCGGGAACGATTCCACATAAGAAATTCCTGACATACAACAACTCGCACCCTCTGGACGTCACAGTTGTCACTGCCTATTTCAACCTTGGGCGATTCAGGAAAGGCAGTGGATTGTTCTTCGACACTCAGTTGTACATGTCGTGGTCAGGAGTGTTCAAACATCTACGGAATCCTTTCGTCTTTTACACAGACTCGGAGGACATTGCTAAGCAGTTTCAACAGATGCGAATCGGGAAGGAAGGAATAACCAAGATTGTCTTGGTCGACAGAAAGAATCTGTGGGCGTTCGGATGGGTAGATAGGATCAAGAAAATCTATTCCAACCCAGGATATCCAAAGTTCCACCCAAACACCGTAGTGCCTGAATACTCCTGTGCTCAACACGCGAAATATGAGTCTGTGGAGGCAGCAGTCAAAAGTAATTATTTCAATACCACTTATTACACTTGGATCGATATCGGCTATTTCCGATACATCTTGAAACGGGGTAAAGAGTTTGTTATCGTGAAACCCCAAGGTTTTAACGAGTCTCGTGTGGCCATGAACAAAGTGAACGACGTGAATATGGACACGTCCCCTGAGACTGTTTTCAAAGGAAACCATGTCTGGCTTGGTGGCGGGATGCTCTTCGGGTCAAAGTTCACACTTCCAATCTTTATAGCAGACTATCGACAAGCCGTCCAACACTATCTCGACATGTCTTTAAGCAGTACAGACCAACAGGTCATTTTTTCTATGAACACTAACAAGGAAAAGCTTATTGTTAAACAAAGAGTGACTATTCAGCAATATGTAGCCGACGTACCCGGAGACTGCTGGTTCTATCTTGGATATGCTTGTTACAGAGAATTGGTAGAGTGACGTGCAATAAGCCATGTTTATTTTGATTTCTTGTGTATGTATGTATGTATGTATGTATGTATGTATGTATGTGTGTGTGTGTGTGTGTGTGTGTGTGTGTGTGTGTGTGTGTGTGTGTGTGTGTGTGTGTGTGTGTGTGTGCGTGTGTGTGTGTGTGTGTGTTTTTCTGTAAATATATATTCATACATATACATATACATATATAAATATGTGTATATGTATGTGTGTGTGTATATATATATACACACACATACACACATGCATATATATATATATATATATATATATATATATATATATATATATATATGCATGTGTGTATGTGTGTATGTGTGTATGTATGTATGTGTTGGGTTCTATGAATATATATATATATATATATTCACTTTCTGTTATGTTTTGTTTATCCGTCCGTTATACACATCACATGGACGGGTCGAATGTCTCTCGTGTCTGTGCAGTGGGGCTTGCCGATCACATGATGTCCGCAACAGCAAACAGGTGGATAGCTTTGATATGTTATTCTGACATCATTAACGATATTTACACCTGTAACGGTAATACTGGCGTTAGTCCTGGTAGTCTATCTGGTGACATATGCTTAACAGGAATTAACACAATCTACACAACCGTAACTCGTACAGTCTTGACTAAGTGAGGGATAACCAGGACCTTGCCATCACTGGTTTTGTGTGGAGCCAAAGTGTGTGAGTGAGTTGGGTTTAACGCCGCTTTTAACAGTATTCAGGGTATATCACGGCGTGTAATCTTAATCTGGGAGGCAAGCCCGAAGTGTTGCAGGTCTCAGACGTTTACCACTTCGATGAAACCCAAGAGCACGGGTATGGTGCTGACAAACCTAGAAACATAATCGGGTCAAACCGGGATTCGAACCCACAATCATAGGTGTCTGGCGTGCCCAAAGGGACGCAACTCTGCACAGCGAATCCGGGCGCCAAAGATAACTGGGCCACCTATGCACCCTGTGTGTGGAGTTAAAAGAACATCACAGTCAACGGTTATTAGGTCACAATAACAACCTATATAACATCGCCATTTTGTCACGTGAGATAGTGTCAAGGTTTACACGTATACAAACTGGAGTGAGTCCAAATGCACGGGAAGCTTTTTGTTGTGAACGCAGAATTCACACACACACACACACACACACACACACACACACACACACACACACACACACACACACACACACACACACACACACACACACACACACACACACACACACACACACACACACACACACACACACACACACACATACATACATACATACATATAGATGTAGAGAGGGTGAGATGTCGACAGGGTGTGCTGTAGGGAGGTCGTGGTGAAACCAGGGTGTGATTTAGACAGGGTGTGATGTAAGCAGGGCGTGGGTTTGACAGGGTGTGATGTGGACAGGGTGTGATGTAGGCAGGGTGTGATATAGTCAGGATGTGATGTAGACAGGGTGTGATGTAGACAGGTTGCGGTGTAGACAGGGTGTGGTGTAGACAGGGTGTGATGTAAACAGGGTGTGATGTAGACAGGGTGTGATGTAGGAAGGGTTTGATGTAGAGAGGGTGTGATGTCGACTGGGTGTGATGTAGACAGGGTGTGGTGAAACCAGGGTGTGATTTAGACAGGGTGTGATGTAAGCAGGGTGTGGTGTAGACAGGGTGTGATGTAGACAGGGTGTGATGTTGACAGGATATGATGTAGACAGGGTGTGATGTAGACAGGGTGTGATGTAGACAGGGTGTGATGTAGACAGGATATGATGTAGACAGGGTATGATGTAGACAGGGTGTGATCTAGACAGGATATGATGTAGACAGGGTGTGATGTAGACAGGATATGATGTAGAGAGGGTGTGATGTGGACAGGGTGTGATGTAGACAGGATATGATGTAGACAGGGTGTGATGTGGACAGGGTGTGATGTTGACAGGATATGATGTAGACAGGGTGTGATGTAGACAGGGTGTGATGTGGACAGGGTGTGATGTGGACAGGATATGATGTAGACAGGGTGTGATGTAGACAGGGTGGGATGTAGACAGGGTGTGATGTAGACAGGATATGATGAAGACAGGGTATGATGTAGACAGGGTGAGATGTAGACAGGATATGATGTAGACAGGGTGTGATGTAGACAGGGTGTGATGTAGACAGGATATGATGTAGGCAGGGTGTGATGTAGACAGGGTGTGATGTAGACGGGGTTTGATGTAGAGAGGGTGTGATGTGGACAGGGTGTGCTGTAGGCAGGGTGTTGTGAAACCAGGGTGTAATATAAACAAATTCTGCGAATATTTGGCAATTGAAAATTGGTCATCCCAGTATGAACACCAGAAGAGAGTATATCTTCAAAACAAGACACGTTTTGAGAGCATATCATACGTAAATATAGGCAAGCATAGCCACACGCCTCCGTTTAAGAACATGAAGACAGTTATATTCACCTTTATACTGTCCTAGGGGCGGTCGGGTAGCCTTGTGGTTCGGGTTCGATTCCCGACATGGGTACAATGTGTGAAGCCTATTTCTGGTGTCCCCCGCCGTGATATTGCTGAAATATTGCTAAAAGCGGCGTAAAACCATACTCACTCACTTATACTGTCCTAGTTCGGCAAGGGTGGAAACTAGACTGTTGCAGTCAGTTAAATCCCTTGCCTCGGGAAGATGGTAGGGCAGGACATGCTTACATCTGCTCCCATCACAAATTTTCAGTGATCCTTCATACATTTTCATCACTGTTTCAACTTTTACGCCCAATGGAGCCTGTTTCGGCAAATAATCGAGACTGGTTATTCACTGGCATGGCTTTTTAAATATACATGTGTATAATGGTTAGAAGTTATTGAAGCATTAATTATCTGGGTTCGAATCCCGACAGGGCTCCACTATTGAGATTTTGATGCAGTTTAATCAAGAACGACGTCGTGTTTAGTTTGATAAATGAGCGTCAGGCTCCACGATATTGTTTAAACATAACATTATATTTACAAAAAAAATCCAGAAACTTAACTTGAGACTCACCAAGGGTTATAAGTATATTGCGTGATGTTTAATCCACGATGTATTCTTCATGTAGTTAGTGATCACACTCGTATACCATTCATAATGACTGAACCGCCTCCGTGGTCTAGAGGTAGAGCGTCTGCCCGGAGAGCGGTAGGTCCGGGGTTCGATCCCCGACCGCGTCATACCAAAAGACGTTAAAAGATGGTACTTGTTGTTACCCTGACTGGCGCTCGGCATTAAGGGGCTAAAACAAGGACTGGTCGGCTCGGAGTCAGTATACTGTGTCTGAGTGGGGTATTCATGTTAAACTGTGGCATGGTATCCCAGTGGGCCGGCACTATAAATCGGCATTAGTCCGGACTAGTACAAGCAGCCACACACACACACACACACACACACACACACACACGAGCATGCACGTCGCTTTATAAGAGCAATAATCTTAGACGCGACGTTAAACCCAATTTCACCTCACCTCACCTCATAATGACTGACCTTTCATCTCATGAAGCAAACTGTAGAGATGATCAATAACTCCATATAGTCCTTTACTGCATTGTGACTCCTTAGTGTGGGGCGGTCGGGTAGTCTAGTGGGTAAAGCGTTCGCTCGTCACATCGAAGACCCGGGTTCGATTCCCGACATGGGTACAATCATGAATGTGAGAAACCCATTTCTGGTGGCCCAAGCTCTGATATTGCTAGAATAGTGATAAAGGCGGAGTAAAACCATACTCACTCACTCACTCTATTTGGTGTAAATATGTACTTTGAAAGACTATTTCACATGTTTTAAAAAGTGTTTTTTCAACAGTATCAAGTGAATATTGCATTGTAGCACATGTCAAAAGATGGAGTTAGATATGTCACCATCATGTATTAATATTCATACAGGTTAATATCGTTTGCAGCGAGTAGTGGATCAGAAGCCGTTCTCTATGTATTGAACCCTGATCACCACAGTAAAACGCATGCACACTCGCGCGCACACAGGAATATATTTACACACACATACTCACCTTACAGATAGTTCGTGTGTGGCAACACTATCGTTTCCTAGATTTCAGTGAAACTATCTATAATAACTGCATCATCACTGCGGGGGCTGTTTTAACTACATCTCAACCCCACCGCACCAACTATCAATTATCACAATACAGATATCACATATCAATAAATGTAGCCTCATTTGTAACCATTAAGTCGGCGTTTGTCAAAAAAGATATCATTATGTCCTTGTTTTGGTCATTTAGCTGGAACACTACTGCATGCATCGTTAAGCAGCATACAACAAAAGAAACAAACAAAAAATCGCTTTCGTTTTTTAGTTCTTTCAGACGAAAAGAGGCTGAATGCTAGAACGCGTGATTTAGACGTGTGTAGGGGCTGGGTTAGAACTATTGTTTTTTTTTAATTTCTTCCCCACACAACCTCACGATGCATGAATCATTCCTCTCTGGAAACTGTAGACGCATAGTGTGACATGTCTATTCTCAGCTAATGGTGTGTGTCGTGATCCTGCGTGGTATGTTGGTGTAGTGTAACATATTAGTGTCAACTGTATTCAGGTATGTCAACCTGAAATTAAACACCACATCCAGGCCAAAATCCTTCACTCGCCGTATCTGTTAAATGGAGTACATATTGTGTTGTGCATGGGTTGGCCGGGGGACGGTAACATTTCCAGACAGTAACACCGCCACGAAGAGGGGTATCAGCAGAAATTGAATCTCGGTATTGTTAGAGGCAGAAGGTTTCAAAGACTCGGTTTTAAAGAGAGGCTGAATGCTGGAACGGAGGAGTGAGACTTGTGTACGTGCTGGGTTAGTACTATGATAAACGCCAGAGGGTGGTCACAGAAAACATCGTAAGCACTTGTAGCAGCCTGTTGAGATCCGTGGAACAATTAACAAAACCCGTGGAGACCCTCTGTTAACAGGAACCAAACTGTGGAGACTCTGTTAACAGGAACCAAACTGTGGAGACTCTGTTAACAGGAATTAAACTGTGGAGACTCTGTTAACAGGAACCAAACTGTGAAGACTCTGTTAACGGGAACCAAACCGTGAAGACTCTATTAACAGGAATCAAACTGTGGAGACTCTGTTAACAGGAACCAAACTGTGGAGACTCTGTTAACAGGAACCAAACTGTGAAGACTCTGTTAACAGGAACCAAACTGTGGAGACTCTGTTAACAGGAACCAAACTGTGGAGACTCTATTAACAGGAATCAAACTGTGGAGACTCTGTTAACAGGAACCAAACTGTGGAGACTCTGTTAACAGGAACCAAACTGTGGAGACTCTGTTAACAGGAATCAAACTGTGGAGACTCTGTTAACAGGAACCAAACTGTGAAGACTCTGTTAACAGGAACCAAACCGTGAAGACTCTATTAACAGGAATCACACTGTGGAGACTGTTAACAGGAAACAAACTGTGATGACTCTGTTAACAGGAACCAAACTGTGAAGACTCTCTTAACGGGAATTAAACTGTGAAGACTCTGTTAACAGGAACCAAACTGTGAAGACTCTCTTAACGGGAACCAAACTGTGAAGACTCTGTTAACAGGAACCAAACTGTGAAGACTCTGTTAACAGGAACCAAGCTGTGAAGACTCTGTTAACAGGAACCAAACTGTGAAGACTCTGTTAACGGGAACCAAACTGTGAAGACTCTGTTAACAGGAACCAAACTGTGAAGACTCTGTTAACGGGAACCAAAATGTGGAGACTCTGTTAACGGGAATTAAACTGTGAAGACTCTGTCAACAGGAATTAAACTGTGAAGACTCTGTTAACGGGAATTAAACTGTGAAGACTCTGTCAACGGGAACCAAACTGTGAAGACTCTGTTAACAGGAATCAAACTGTGGAGACTCTGTCAACAGGAATTAAACTGTGAAGACTCTGTTAACAGGAATTAAACTGTGAAGACTCTGTTAAGGGGAACGAAACTGTGAAGACTCTGTTAACAGGAACCAAACTGTGGAGACTCTGTCAACAGGAATTAAACTGTGAAGACTCTCTTAACAGGAACCAAACTGTGAAGACTCTGTTAACAGGAACCAAACTGTGAAGACTCTGTTAACGGGAACCAAACTGTAAAGACTCTGTTAACAGGAACCAAACTGTGGAGACTCTGTCAACAGGAATTTGAACTGTGAAGACTCTGTCAACAGGAATTAAACTGTGAAGACTCTCTTAACGGGAATCAAACTGTGAAGACTTTCTTAACGGGAACCAAACTGTGAAGACTCTGTTAACAGGAACCAAACTGTGGAGACTCTGTCAACAGGAACCAAACTGTGAAGACTCTGTTTACAGGAACCAAACTGTGAAGACTCTGTAAACAGGAACCAAACTGTGAAGACTCTGTTAACGGGAACCAAAATGTGGAGACTCTGTTAACGGGAATTAAACTGTGAAGACTCTGTTAACAGGAATTAAACTGTGAAGACTCTGTTAACGGGAACCAAACTGTGAAGACTCTGTTAACAGGAACCAAACTGTGGAGACTCTGTCAACAGGAATTAAACTGTGAAGACTCTCTTAACAGGAACCAAACTGTGAAGACTCTGTTAACAGGAACCAAACTGTGAAGACTCTGTTAACGGGAACCAAACTGTAAAGACTCTGTTAACAGGAACCAAACTGTGGAGACTCTGTCAACAGGAATTTGAACTGTGAAGACTCTGTCAACAGGATTTAAACTGTGAAGACTCTCTTAACGGGAATCAAACTGTGAAGACTTTCTTAACGGGAACCAAACTGTGAAGACTCTGTTAACAGAAACCAAACTGTGGAGACTCTGTCAACAGGAATTAAACTGTGAAGACTCTGTTTACAGGAACCAAACTGTGAAGACTCTGTAAACAGGAACCAAACTGTAAAGACTCTGTTAACGGGAACCAAACTGTAAAGACTCTGTTAACAGGAACCAAACTGTGGAGACTCTGTCAACAGGAATTTGAACTGTGAAGACTCTGTCAACAGGAATTAAACTGTGAAGATTCTGTGAAGACTTTCTTTTCAGAAACAACAACCTGTTCAGAAGCTGCTGACAGGACGCAAAGTGTGGATACACTCTGTCCACATTAAGCCGTTAATAGATCTTTATTATTCACAGGAAACAAACAATTACTCTTCAGAAGACGCACTTTCACTGGAACAAAGTTTACACTTAACTTTCCTGTATGATCTCCCAAATATGAGGATGAATGTTTCAAACTGTTCGAACGAAGAGAATGAAGCCATATTGCCTAACCAGGAAACAGCTAATCTCTTGTGGAAGATCATTTCGCCAATTCTCCTTCTACTTGGCACTGTAGGCAACCTCCTTTCCATTGTTGTGTTGACCCGTAAGGCAATGCGGAAGTCCAATATGTCCAAATACCTAACCTGCCTGGCAGTGGCTGATCTAGCGGTTCTGTATGTCGGACTTCTACCACAATGGATAAGTGTTACGTTCGATGTAAATATAAGGGACGTTCATCCAGTTGTTTGTAAGATACACCCGTGGTTACTGTACTCAAGCCTTCACACATCGGCTTGGATTCAAGTCTCTGTGACCATTGAACGCACAGTCTTTGTTTGGAGACCTCTGCGATACAGGATCTTGTGCACCAAGCGTGTAGCCACCATCAGTGTTGGTATTGTTATAAGCATATGCCTGATATTAAATAGTCACTTTCTGATCTTCTTGGAACATACTGAAACAGATCCAGGAGTTTATGAGTGTGATTCCGTAACGACAGCTGAGTATGATGACTTTCTCAGCAAAGTGTTTCACTGGATAGATCTGTGTGTGTGGTGTATTGTACCTGTCGTTGTCCATCTTGTGTGCAATATTCTCATTATTTACCGGCTACGTACGCATGCTCGTACCATGGCTAGACATAATTCCACGCCTGGGGCAGATGGATCAAGGCAAAGTCTCGTAACGTCCATGACAACTATGCTGTTGAGTTTGAACCTGGTGTACCTCCTCTGCACCTTGCCCGTGTCCGTCTTCTTCGTTGGCGAGCGCTATTGGAACATCAGTTCCCCAGGGGCTGAGGCAGAAGCACGACGAGAGCTTATAAAGGCGTGTGTGAGCCTTCTGATGTATCTCAACAACTCCACCAACTTCATCATCTGCTTGGTCAAAGGTAAACGATTCCGGGAGGAGGCGCGTATTATCTTCAGCTGTCAAAGACCACGACGTCTCCCACGTCAAAGAGGCTCGACTTGGATCTCTTCTATATCAAGGTCATTGCGGCAGAGGTCACTTATAGATTCATCAAGCAGTTCATGTGAGTCACATCATTCTTTATTCATTATTACATTCTCAATATCATTTTGTCAGCATGCGAGCACGAAGATCATCATTTCATAATATTTTTCATTTTATCGTAATTCCCACAACCATCCCCTTGTGTATCAATGACTTCACTGGTGACGCTGAGCTTATGTGAGCACTGTGCATTCCTTGTGTATCAATGACTTCACAGGTGACGCTGAACTAATGTGAGCACTGTGCATTCCTTGTGTATCAATGACTTCACTGGTGACGCTGAGCTTATGTGAGCACTGTGCATTCCTTGTGTATCAATGACTTCACCGGTGACGCCGAGCTTATGTGAGCACTGTGCATTCCTTGTGTATCAATGACTTCACTGGTGACGCTGAGCTTATGTGAGCATTGTGCATTCCTTAATAGTAGTAGCTTGTTAGTGTGTTTGTTGTTTAACGCATCATTCCGGCGATCTGTAAATAATCTGGACCAGACAATTCAGTGAATGAAATTAT